GATGTCCTACTTGAATTTTTCATGTGAATTAAGTGAATTCACTCCAGGATAAAGCTATACTGGCAGGGCTCTTCCATATATAAAATTAAATTAAATTAGGCAACTAAACTTAGAAGAGAAATCCAACTCAGAATAAATTACAAGTATATTTGCACCCTTGTAAACATTTTTATTTGATTATTAATACTGCACTCGAGCTCATATATTATATAAAACCTGTATTTGATTCTTTGTGGGCAGATTGATGCTTTGCTTGGGGCTCGTGGTAAATATTATGAGGGTGAGGCTTCCAGAAAAGTGAAGAATGAGTTTATGTCAGCTTGGGATGGATTAGCTTCAAATGACAGCCAAAGAATACTTGTCCTTGGTGCTTCAAATAGGCCCTTTGACCTTGATGATGCTGTCATTCGCCGCATGCCAAGAAGGTACATTTCTAATACGAGTCAAAATATTCGTACATTTGTTGTTTATGCTAGAAGGGTGCATGTATTTCATAAATGCGACACATTGCGTGTCTGTGATTATTTTCAAGAAGCCAGGGGATTGGAATTCCTTGGATAGTGAATTTTATTAACTTATGCTTTGGCAGATATTTGGTGTTATTAAAAATGGAATGTTAGGAAGTTTTCCTTCTACTTACCTCATGTCCTATTGTTGAAAGGATTCCTCTTTACGTAGAAGTAACGATTAGTGCATTGGAAAAATATTCTAAGTATCTAATCAGTTGATTATTATCAAGTTCCTAAAGGAAATTCAATGAGTGGAACCAAAACAGTCACCCTAGCTGATTGAACGTACCTTAGTTAGAAAACGGGTTTGCCAGAATATGATTGCCTATTGAATAGAAAACTGGCCTGGCCAGTTTACTTACAAGTCCTACTCTTGAAGAATATCGGTGGATCATCATATGTGACATTTGAGACATGGTTGATTTTCTCTCTTCTCTAATTTTGTTTTTTACTTTATTGATATGAATTTTGAGCCTGACAGAATATCCTTGACTGCTCATAGGATTCATGTTGACCTACCAGATGTGAAAAATAGAGTGAGAATACTGGACGTACTTCTTGGCAAAGAGGCTCTGGAATCTGGGTTTGATATTAAAAAACTCGCAGAGTCTACTGAAGGGTATTCCGGGAGCGACTTAAAGGTAATGTTCATCGAGTTTTCGTTAATGGCTATATATATTGTGATTCCTACTGACGCCTAAGATTTGTGATTCTTTGTCTTTTTATTTTTCCCAGAATCTGTGTGTGGCTGCTGCATATATACCTGTCCAAGAACTACTTGAACAAGAAAGCAAGGTAAACACTATAATGATCTTCTTGTCACTATTCTAGTACTTTTTAAGATTTTTCTGTTATTGGATGATATCTGTTATTGGATGATATATTTCAGTTGAAATTATGGAGTGTTCAACTTTTGTCTTTTGTTTCTTGATGACATATATTGACATCGATAGTGGTGTTTAATATAGTTTATTATTGTTATATATGATCTTCCAACAAACATAAATGTGTAACAACTTTGCACGCGTAAAACATTAAAACACAAATTAGCATCTTGCCCTCAGTAACAACTGCCTTTGTCTTTTGTTTCGTATTGTTTTTATGATGATGGGTATTACTTTAGGACAAAAGGCGCAACTTGTATATATTTTCCTTGAATATATTTGTGGTTGTTATTGATTGACAGGGTAACAAGAAAGATGGAACTCCGACATTAAGACAACTGAAGCTAGACGACTTTATTAATTCCATGGCCACGGTATGTAAAATCATTTGAAATTATAGAAATCGTAAAAAAAGCCCTTATGCTTGTGTTTGTTTGTTAAGTTGAGATAAATCTTTATCAGCCTAAACATGAAGCACATTATACACTTAACAACACAAATTTTATTTTTCAACTAATTTTTTATTCATTTTTTCAACTAATTTTTTATTCGTCGGGGTAAACAGTCAGTTTATGTATCATGCTTGTGTTTGTTTGTTAAGATAAATCTATATCAGCCTAAACTTGAAGCACATTATACACTTAACAACACAAATTATATTTTTCAACTACTTTTTTATTCATCGGGATAAACAGTCGGTTCATGTATTATACTTGTGTGTATGAATAATTTTGCAGGTTGGGGCCTCGGTTGCTTGTGAATCAAGCAGTTTGGTAGAGCTGAGGGAATGGAATGAGCGATATGGCGAAGGAGGAAACAGGAAAAAATCGAAGCATTCACAGCCCCCTACCAATTGAGGATTCGAATTTTGTTCCTGGTTCATTTACAACCCTTTAGTTGGCTTGAATAAATCTTGTTTTGACAATTTGAGTTTAGAGTTCATGGGATTTTGTGCTTTTTCTTTCATATTTTGGCAAATGTAATTTATTTGCTTTGAATTTGTTTTTATTTTCTTTTAGTAACCGAAAGAGAACGATTTTTTGGTTGTTGATGCTCATTTTCTAGTGTCCCTTTGTTCGTCTTTTATAGACACACGTTTGTGTTTGATTTTGGTCCTTAGATGCCTAGACGGTACTCCGTTAACTACTTAACTAGTTACA